CTGTCACGCCGAGCTTAAAGAGACCTCAAACGAGAGTTCATGAAGAGTTACTGAAAAGAAACATCGAGTGGCACTTCAACCCACCACATGCCAGCCATAGAGGTGGGCTATGGGAAAGACTTATGGGAATCATCAAGCGTATTTTAAGCTCCATAATTAAGAACCAGGGTTTGAATGACGAAACATTGGAGACATTTTTATGTGAAGCTGAACGAATACTAAATGACCGGCCGCTATTACCTGTGAAGGACGACGTCAAGGATTTCGATGTGTTAACCCCAAATAAACTATTGTTATTGAGAGGTAACCCTGGCATAGAGGACTCAACCGGGGATCGGATACCTACGATCAAAAGATGGAAACAAGCCAGGCACATGAAAGATATATTTTGGAAAAGATGGTTAAAGGAGTATGTTCTAACACTGCAAACCAGAGACAAATGGAAAACGTTGTGCAGAAACTTAAAGGTTGGTGATATAGTCTTAGTAGCAGATAAATGTACCACAGGTAGATGGCCTTTGGGAGTGGTAGGAAGGCTACTCTGTAGTGGTGATAGGTTGGTGAAGGCTGTTGAGGTGAGGACAAGTTGTGGGATGTTGGTGCGAGATATTAGGAAACTGTGTCTACTGGAAGGTGCTGAGAGTGGAGAGTGAGAGGATGAACCACTTGACGATTTTCCAACCTAGGGTGTCAACGTGAGAAGCAATGTAGGCGTAGTGCTGTAAGTCCTACAGTTCTTCAAGGGTAGCTCGTCGAGGCGGAGTCCACGACAATTGATGTATTGATTGTACATACATTTGTGTTAAAAAATTGAATTGGTTCCAATTCATCTAATTGTTGGTTTTTTAATAATAGTTGTCGCTTTGTGTGAATCATCTTGTGATGTTATTGTGAGTACTTCTGAAGTCGTTTCTAGTCTTGTGAACGAATGGAGTAGTGTTAGAGTCAGTGTATGCGATCGGATACGCTGGGGAGAGGATTGTGCCAGAGTGATATGAATCAACCAACGCTTCGTGAACCAGATCAGTGGTGATACTGTCTACAGACAGCGTAGATTCCACGCGCCGGTGAGAGCGTGTCGGTGTGATGTGGTATGCTTGTTGTGTGTTGGGCTTTTTGTCTTGCTTTTCCAATTTTAGCCTGGGCTCGGTAGGCCCAGGTTCCCGCGTTGGCAGCGCTATGGAAAAAGGGATGGGCCCTTTTCAGCCGGGGAGTGTCCATGGAGGCGAACATTGAACGTTTGTTTTCAGAACTGGTAGCCATTGTTGGGCAACTAAAAGGCGCGAATGGTTCGATGGTGTACAAGTTCGATGCGGACGACAAAAAACGAATAAAAGTACTCCATAATTTTGTCTAGAATATTTGTTTATAGACTTTTACTGTTCACAGCTTTAATTGTCCAACGATATAACTTCCTTCTCACAATACTGGTGTTTTGGAGTTAAAGTCGAAGAAAGCACATAGTTTTTATCGGTGCGGAGCGTCTTCGTAACAATAGGAACTTAGGGATAAGTTCCTTTTTTCGATGTTCTAAACTTAGCATTATTTTACTGTATGGTAGATGCACATCATTCTTTAAACGCTCATTTCGTACATTTTCCTCAACAAGGTTCTTAACATTCTTGTTTTGTTTTCCAGGTGCAACGGGTAGTGGACAAGAAACAAACGAAGCACGAGATCCAACGAACAACATCAAAGAAGCGATGTACAAACACCCTATTAGCATAGGCCGACAGACCAGTAGTCTGCCTGTCTCTGTTTTCGACATAGAACTTTGCACTGATGTGCAGCAGTCAAGTCGCCATACTCCATGTAGCACGCAAAGCAAGAGAAGAAATGCATAATAGGGACAGTAAACGGAGGTGTGAGACGAAAGAATAGTAATAGCAAAGAAGAAAATAGTTTCATTGGAAATTATAAGTCACAAGTAGTGAATGCATCTGCGCCATTGAGAACGACTTTTAGGCCATATCACCAATTGTTTCCAGCAATTGGTTTTTACCGTCCCGAGGACCTCAACCCGGAAGTCTACATCTTCCTACGTGGCCTAAACTAACTGTGGTAATCAATCGACGAGACTGTGAAGTTACTTCGATTGAGATGGTTAGGACATGTGTTACGCATGTCTATCCTAGCCTAGCCATCGCCTTCCTTGATGGGTAATATTAGCTGACATCGAGTTAGGTTGGAAAAGAGCCGCTGGTTGTCAAACCAAAACATGGCTTCATCAGTCAATAAAGTCCAAAACTGTCAATTATGAAGATATAGACTTCCTGGTTGAGGGCCTCGGGACGTGATGAGTGAAGTGCGGCGACTTGAGATGCTGCACATCAGTGCAAAGTTCTATGTAGAAACCAGTCAATCATTATTAGTAGCACTAGTTTTCTCTCCTGTTTGTTGTAGTTTTATGAGCTATTCAATCACATCTGCCAACAAACACCTACTAATAGTGTATGTTGAAAGTAGATTTAACAATATACAAGATGAATGTTTCTGATGATCGTTTATGTCGGCGAACGCTTTTTTATACTTATATTAAGAAAGCTTTTTCACTGCTTTTTATGTTCATCAATTGATGTGTGGAGAGTAACTACTGAAAGCACTTGTGATGCCCTAATGACCGGTCGATAGGTCCATTGTGGTCAATTATAAAGTGAATCATCGAGCGAATTGACTGATTGGTGTCATCTCTGTGACTGTAGTAGTGTGTGATGCGACTTGGAGTCATCTGTGAAGAGAATCAGTGCCTAGTTGAAGACACACTTTGGTAACGAGTGGCAATAAGGACAGAAGCTACATCAACAGTTTTATGTCGATTACCTCCAACGAGTCTTGAGATAACTGTATATATACACATATATATATATGCATGTCAGGTGTCCTATGCACTGGAAGTTAGTTACTTGTACATGGTGTTTGTATGCAGATTAAACTAGAAGTCGTAGATGCTACGTGAGGCGGTGGGTTTATGGTATTGCTTAAGACCTGAGTTACATCTAGATCATTTCTAATATGAATTTTCAATAATGATTGTAGAAGTAATTCCAGGGTGTCTGTCCTATTATTATTCTGATGCTTGATTTTTGTCTTTTACATTTTCATTCTTTTAGCATGTACTATGTGCGTCGGTGGCACAGCGGTTAGCATGCTCGCCGACCATGCACATGGTCCGGGGTTCGATCCCCGACCGACTCATTCCTTTACCTCACTTAGCCAGGAGTAATGCTGGTAAAGAGGGAAGGTTGGGCATGAGGCTAGCAACTCCATCCTGTGAAAATAAACACTGCGACAGAAACTTCAAGCCTCTAGCTTGAAGCCCTATATTCCACTGGGAACGTGAAGGGAATAAATAAATAAATAGCATGTACTATAGATTATGAAGCTATTGAGAGTCTTGTGAATTGGTCGTTTTGCACACGAATTCATTGTTTTCGGACATTATAAAGCAACACTAGTGGATCAGTAAAGATCAGACCTGTCTGGGGTATTTTGCCTAGTTGGCATGTTACGCTGAGTCAAATACCTCAAGAAAATTGGGTTGGTTTAGTTGTCAGATCTATTCACCTTGAAGATAACGGTCCTGGTATGTTTCCGATTTTAGAAGTGTGTTTAGAAACTCCTGTAAGTTGTTATGTGACGCGGTATTTAGCTTCGAAACTTTGTAACACCAAAAGTGTTGGAGAAGTACCAGCAGTGACCTACTTAGATTTCTACAGAACGAAGTGTCTCCTGATGAGAAGCCTACCCATTAATATGTATCGATGGGTAGGCTTCTCATCAGGAGACACTTCGTTCTGTAGAAATCTAAGTAGGTCACTGCTGGTACTTCTCCAACACTTTTGGTGTTACAAAGTTTCGAAGCTAAATACCGCGTCACATAACAACTTACAGGAGTTTCTAAACACACTTCTAAAATCGGAAACACACCAGGACCGTTATCTTCAAGGTGAATAGATCTGACAACTAAACCAACCCAATTTTCTTGAGGTATTTGACTCAGCGTAACATGCCAACTAGGCAAAATACCCCAGACAGGTCTGATCTTTACTGATCCACTAGTGTTGCTTTATAATGTCCGAAAACAATGAATTCGTGTGCAAAACGACCAATTCACAAGACTCTCATTAGCTTCATAATCTATAGTACATGCTATTTATTTATTTATTCCCTTCACATTCCCAGTGGAATATAGGGCTTCAAGCAAGAGGCTTGAAGTTTCTGTTGCAGTGTTTATTTTCACAGGATGGAGTTGCTAGCCTCATGCCCAACCTTCCCTCTTTACCAGCATTACTCCTGGCTAAGTGAGGTAAAGGAATGAGTCGGTCGGGGATCGAACCCCGGACCATGTGCATGGTCGGCGAGCATGCTAACCGCTGTGCCACCGACGCACATAGTACATGCTAAAAGAATGAAAATGTAAAAGACAAAAATCAAGCATCAGAATAATAATAGGACAGACACCCTGGAATTACTTCTACAATCATTATTGAAAATTCATATTAGAAATGATCTAGATGTAACTCAGGTCTTAAGCAATACCATAAATCCACCGCCTCACGTAGCATCTACGACTTCTAGTTTAATCTGCATACAAACACCATGTACAAGTAACTAACTTCCACTGCATAGGACACCTGACATGCATATATATATATGTGTATATATACAGTTATCTCAAGACTCGTCGGAGGTAATCGACGTAAAACTGTTGATGTAGCTTCTGTCCTTATTGCTACCCGTTAACAAAGTGTGTCTTCAACTAGGCACTGATTCTCTTCACGATGACTCCAGTCGCATCACACACTACTACAGTCACAGAGATGACATCAATCAGTCAATTCGCTCGATGATTCACTTTATAATTGACCACAATGGACCTATCGACCGGTCATTAGGGCATCACAAGTGCTTTTAGTAGTTACTCTCCACACATCAATTGATGAACATAAAAAGCAGTGAAAAAGCTTTCTTAATATAAGTATAAAAAAGCGTTTGCCGACATAAACGATCATCAGAAACATTCATCTTGTATATTGTTAAATCTACTTTCAACATACACTATTAGTAGGTGTTTGTTGGCAGATGTGATTGAATAGCTCATAAAACTACAACAAACAGGAGAGAAAACTAGTGCTACTAATAATGATTGACTGCTTTCAACATAGGACAACTTACGGAGTTCTCATAGTATGTGGGCAGACTGTTACGTGAGAGAGATTGTCGTTGTTGTTAACGAAACCATTAGCAGAGGCGAGTGGTGCCATAAGCACCTGAAGACACAGCTGGGAAAGTGCTTACCGCTGGAACTGAGCATTTGTGAGATTTGGAAGTGTTCTATTGGGTCATCGAGAAGGAAGGGTGGTGAAGAGAATCGGAATCTGCATTACTTCACTAAGTTTGATGTAAGTCGTATAGTTGTAGCCTGTAATCTTTTTAGGTGGACGAAGGTCTTTCCAACATTCTGAGGCATCTAGCAAGCTATACCGCCTATACACTTTACAAAAGCATCAAGAGGCTTCCTGAAATGAAAGTTACGGGTTGCACAGAAGCATTTATGGTATTCGAAGGTGACAGAAACTCCGTTGTGGACAAACGTGACTGCAGCTGCAGATGTTTTCAAAACAGCAATGTGCTATTGCCATGCCGTCATCTAGTTCATACTAAATGTCATATATATACCAGTCTGGGTAAGTTCATATAGGCCTCAAGTAAATTTGTAAAAGATGTATTTAGACAGTACTAGGTGGTTACAAGACTACAATCACACTGTCATCCAATCACAACGGACACAATCGGGGACTTGGACATGCAAATGCTCGTACAAGGCATACTGTATCAAATCAAAAACCTTCAACAGACGCATCCGAGGATATGTAGGAGTGCGTTTCTTCACGTATTCAATTATCTACATGAAGTTGGTGCACAGGAGGATGATCAGGCATCTACATCGTCATGCTCGGACCGATATACGTACATATTTTTAAAGATAACTGTAAATAAATTTTCCCATAACAGTATTGCATCCAATTGGTACATTAACAATAATTAAAATTCTACTTAGATTAAGGGTAATCTCAGTTCGTTTTGACCACAATATATTGGCATATCGGTAGCAAAAGCAAAAGTGAACAGAGTGCTTGAAGGTGTTAGAAAAGTAGACGCTAGCATATTTACTGGCGTTAGCGGTAACAAAAGGTCGAGGTATACAGAGTGTGAGAGAACGAAGAAGAATGTTTTAAGTTGAGTTTGTAAGTAAGAGAGAAACAAAACAGCGCATAACAGAAAAAAAGAGAAGAGGAAAAGAAAGAAAGAAAACGTTGTACCTATAAATGATATGAGTTGGAGAGACGAGAGTACCTCAGGGAACTGTACTTGATCCCCTGCTATTCCTATTATACATAAGTGAAGTTCCGAAAATTCCTACCTAATCTTCCTCACTGTTCGTGGACGATATTAAGATATGGAAAACCGTAAATGGTAGCGATGATAGGTTGGTACTACAAAACGATCTAGACAAATAAACCGAATGGGCTAAGCTTTGGGGTCAGGAAGTTAGTTCCAAGAAAAGCGCAGTAATGCACCTAGGTCAGAAGTCTTACACATCGTACTCCATGGGAGACACAGAACTTCCAGATGTTAGGGAAGAAAAGGACTTAGGAATTATTGTTAGCCATGACTTAAAAACAACGGCAAACTCTAATCGAGCCGCAGCTAAGGCTTTTCGAATGCATTGGGCACTTGGAAGGGCTTTGAAGCGATCAGACGAGGGTATGTTCCAAGTACTCTGTGCAACATATGTCAGGCCTCATCTAGAGTACTGCATAGAAGTGGCGAGTCCGTGCTTCAGAAAGGAGGTACATGTTCTGGAAAGAGTACAGAAGGCAGGAACGGAATTAGTTAGTGGTATCTCACGCCTTCCTTATGATATTAGGATGGAGCATTTAAATCTCTTCCCATTATCGTACCGAAGGAGCAGAGGTGACTTAATTTTGGCTTACCGTATATTCAAGGGTGATTTAGGGATTGACCTTTCAAACCTTTTCTCTCCACCTAGGATACATTTACGGGGTCACCAGAAGAAGGTGCTCAAACCGAGGTCGAATAAAATACGGTTGGAGTTTAGATTCTCTCACAGAGTGGTCAACGACTGGAACTCCTTACTTGAATCCATAGTAACAGCTCCACTGGTGAACGATTTCAAAGAGAAACTGGATCTCTGCAGAGATATCAATCGCGAGGATTAACATAGGCAACAAGAGCCTTCTATCCCTATAATCTGTAACTGATTATTGACTAACTTGATGTACACTCCCACCACTTTAGATTTCCGATCCAGATTTGTTGATTGAGGATAGAGGGCTTAGAGCCTATGTCAGTCTCTTTCTAGTAAATTTCTTTGCTTGTCCAAACGCTGCATATACCACCTCTTTTGAGAGCCGATTCCAGGAGTGTGTGACTCGGTGTGATAACCAGTACTCCACAGTAATATGGTTTCTTCTTGGCTTCTGAACTCTCCTGCTATTTCCTCTTAGGTGTTCCGACCTGGTGGGAAGGGAAAGAGAGAATAGGTCAGGTTCGTAGTCATTATTTAAAATTTTAAACATTGTAACTAAATCTCCTCTCTGCCTGCTGTATGACAGGGACGACGAGATTTAGACTGTATAGTCTTTCCTCGTATGATAATTTAGTCACGCTGAAGAAAATACATGTTGCCTTTCTTTCCAAAACATGTGGGTCCTTCTGGGATTTCCACGAAGAAGCCCATACCTAGTCAATGGCAGAACACCTTTGTTTGGGTGATTCAGGTCATTTGTTATCTTTTCGTCAGTAATCAAGTCCCACTTGAGCCGACGGTACCTAAGTGAGAATAGGCCTAATTTCTTTAGCCGTCCATCATACAGTTTGTTTCGGAGACCCATCACCCTCTTATCACCCGTCTTTGGACTCTTTCAAAAAGGTTCGTGTCATTTCTAAGCAACGGGGGGGGAATGAAATTGTGTACTTTAAGGTATGGTCTGGCGTATGTTTTGCACAACCTTAGAAAGAGCTCAGTAGTGAGTGCACCTAACTGTCTATGTGTAAAGTGCATGACCACATATGTCCTCGCTACATCCCCCGTGTAATTTACACTTGTGTCCATTTTTCCGTTAGAACTAGACCTAAGTCACGCTCCGACGTTGTGCAGGAAAAGTTTTCGTTGCACAGGGTGTAACTTACATTCTGCAGCCTACTTTTTAAGGTTGAAAGTCATGCCACTGGCCACCGCCCAGTCTTCCAGAAGCTCTGGGTCTGCCTGTAGTCTATCTGAGTCTTCCGAACACTTTATTGCTCTCCAAATCTTTGCGTTATCAGTGTGAAGAAGAGTCAGGCAGCTTAGACGGCCTGATAGGTCATTGGTAGAAATCAAAACCACCAGTGGCTTTAGGGTAGAGCATTGCACACTTCTCATGATGAGCTAAGCCAGGATGATCGGACTTAATTACGTTAGGGAAAAATTTCTTTTCAGCTAGGTAGTCTTTCAACCATGACAGAAGTGGCTCACCTTTTATTTATTTATTTTTTATTTAAACGCATAAAAACTTGGTATAATATGGCACCTAGAAGGATGCATCACACAGTAATAATAAAACAACACAGATCATAAGAAAAAAAGAAAGAAGAGAAATATATATATATATATATGTATATAAGTAGAGAACGGATAAAGAACCTCTTCTGGAAGGAAAACAGTCATGCTTAACAAGTTCAAACAGTATTCGTTAACTATCATCGGGAAGGGAAGAAAGAAGGAATTTGCAACACGTGTAACAGCACGCGATAAGTTTCATTGATTGTTTGTTGCTTCATTCAATTCACCTATACCTGCCTGACTTATTTTGTGTAGGAGAAGGTCATGGTGAACTGTGTCCATGGTATAACTGCACTGAATTAAGGTAATCCCCGTCGCCAATTTGTTATAACTGTAGGGAATTGAATGAAGACGTTTTCACCTTGCTCTGTCTGCGCCTGAACTAATCTGCCTATCTGCTTGTCGTACCTTCCGATTTAGTAAAGCACGCAAATATCAAAAGACAAAGGCTGGACTGTGACTGTGTATTGAAGTGCAACAACGATAAAGAAAGCCATGGTATTTATACATTTTACAACAATATGGACAGCTAACAGCATTTGAAATAATTTATCTTAATAGCCAATAACAAAGTGCGTGAGAGATGATAATATACCATATGTGCGAGGTTGACAGTCAGTAACAAAATGTGTGGGAATGATAATATACCATATATACAAGATTAGTAGTCAATACCAAAATGTGTGAGAATGATAATATACCATATATACAAGATTAACCAGTCAATACCAAAATATGTGGGATCCTATCATTCCAATGCCTCCTCGAAGTCTAGGAAGACCACATGGATTGGAATATTCATATCCCAACATGTTGTCCAATCGTTCCAAGCTGATAGTAGTTTTATTAAACAGGATATGCCTTTCCTCAAACCATGTTGTGCTTCATGGAGTCCACTGGTCCCATCGAGGTGCTCCCTGATGTGATCACCAATTATACTTTCCAGTACTTTTTATACCACTGGGAGTAGCGCTACTAGTCTGTAACTGGTGGCATTTCGCCTGTCCCCACCCTTGAAAATAGGAGGAAGGGTGGCTGTTTTCCACTCCCTTGGCAGTTTCCCCGAATCCATCGAATGTTGGAACAAGTCTCATCAGGGCCTACAGAGAGCTTCGGTGCACTGTTTCCGAACAGATGGCTTGAAATCGTCACAATTTGGGGACTTTCCAGATGGGAGTCTGTGTAGCTTCCCTAGTATTATTGCCAGTTTTGTTTGGAGAGTAACCACTAAGTTTTCCTCCGGTGAAGTAGTAGTGCCTCCATTTCGGTCCGTACCAGTAATACCCATACTGCTGTTTAACTGTTTGGCGAAGGCTAAACTGAATGTTTCAGCCATCTCCAGACTAGTGAGGTATTGACCGTTTGGGCCTACTAAGACGCATGCCCGCCGTGTTGTTTGGTTTACTCTCTGACATGAATCGGTACAGGCTTTCGGGGTTCTCCAGGAGGTTCTCGGCAAGGTTAACCGGGAATGACCTCTCGTCATTCCTGACTCTTGTGTTGCAGTGGTTCCTGAGTCGCAGATATGTATTGCGGTCAGTCTGACTATTGGATATTCGCCACGTATACCAAGCCTTCTGCTTTGCTTGTAGAATTTATTGCATACCTCTCTTCAGCCCTGAGGACCGACCATTTTCTCAGCTGTGTTGTGACTACAGGGACTGTATCCGAGATTGATGTATGAATAATCTCTTTCACCACTTCCCAGTGTTCATCCACAGATAACTCATGCCATTCTGTGGAAAATTCTGCGTCGTACAAAAGCCTCCGCATTTCAGCATAGCCCGTCTTGTTATAGCTCAGACATGGTCGCTAGGCTTCCCACTGTAAGTTCTCATGGAGAACAATTTCGAATCCTATGACTGAATGGTCACTACTTCCTAGTGGGGTCATTATTTGGACCTTTTCGACAACTAGTTGGTCACTAGTTAGAATATGATCTAGTTTCTACGGCTTTCAACCAGGGCCCCAACTAGCGTCGTCTCCAACATTCTCAGTCAGTCCTGTATTTCCTGTGGTTTGAAGTAGATTCTTGATATGTATCCATATATATGTATGGTGGTCTCTCTTTCTGTTGCTCTCTTAGTCTGTGACCATTTCACTTTGATGAACCTGTCTCCTTTAACAATGCATATTCCCCTTATATTATATTCAATATGTGTGTTTGTTGACATGTCTGCTATATTTTGCTATGTATATACGGATCGATACTCCATTATAATTAGCCAATCATGTTAAGACTGTCTATTGATTGTTCACACACTTGTTCGGACATTCATATATATTTTTGCTCGCACACTCTTGTGTGATTTGATTCTCCTTGTGTTTGGAAAATAGAAGTATCATCGCAAACCTAGTGGTCTTCTGATTTCCGTCTTTCTTGCGTCAGGACTATTAAATTCTCGACCAGTACATAATAATAATTTGAGTACATAACAATGCTGACCGAACGTTTCCTGAGCATACTCCGAGTC